ATATATAATATTATATATGATAATATTATACAAAGTTCAGATGACATGCAAAAATATTTGTGCGTCTTATCAATTAATATGAATGGATCTTGATCGAATACGAGTTCCTTCGCCATCGTGACTGGCCAGTTTTCAATTGAGTGCAATTAAAGATTGAGAATCTATTTCATTTCTAATGTATTGAAATTTTCATATTACGAAACTATATACGCATATAAAAATAAGCAAGTTAAGAATATAATTATTTCTTTTTAATATAAATATTTATTTTTGTTTCATCCAATAAAGATGATACGGTATAATGTGAAAGATAAATGAGAATCGATATAGAAATCAATGATACAAATAAAAATAAATATTTCGTCGGGAAAATATTTATTCCAAATAAAGTTTTAATAAACATCATACCATAAAAATCACAATTTTCCATTGAAATAAATCATAATACGTTTCTTTATACATTGTTCATAGTAATATAATGATCATTGTAATGAAATATAAATATTTGAACAATGTATTATTACTTGAGACTATCATTAACATGTATGAGTTAAAATAATAGTTAATTTCCATAATTTTAAAATTTATTGATATTTTATATTAATAAAAATTCATCTCTGCGACGAGATTTATCACGTGTTAAATGAACCGTTTAATAGTAAAATTTTCAAACGACCGTTTAAAAACCAAAATGAAACAAATAAATTATAAAAATGTTTCGAAAATTACAAATTATTATCTCAATCATTGTTACACCAATTTTTTGTGAACATAATTACAGAGAGAATTAGAAAATTCCATGGGATCGATATTTTCGTTTAATTAATTATTGTAATGTAACTTCATCGGCATGACAGCTATATTTCAATCTCTTTCCAACTCGATATATCATTTTAAATCTATCTTTTTCTGTTACTTATAAATTTTATTCAAATATAAATTATAATTTTTTTCGATAAAAAATCTAATACATTTAAATCGTAAAGAATTGATATTTTATATAACATGTACATATTTAAATGTATTTCCGCTCTTTATCAGAGAATTATGATCTCATGATCGAATAATGTTCATGAAAATGTACATACAATAATGTCAATGCACTAAGGCATCGAGTACACGATAAAGTCGCATTCACAATGGATGCGGTTGCACTATATGGTCAGTCCATAGAGAGTTCTCGTTGAATGCAGTTGCATGCGGCTAATGCAGGTCTGCATGCGATGATGCGATCAATACCGAAAGTGAGTTCGAATTCAGACTAATTTTCGACGATTATGTGAAAATGAATAAATATCAGATACGAACAATAAGAAAAATAGGTTATGTTCAACAAAGAATTTTACCTGAGAAATGAATTTAAAAACTTTATAACCTCAAAATTTCTTGATCTGTCTTATGTCATATTATTTCAGGAGTTAAATAAAGAAGAAAAATTAGAAGAAGATTATACTTCCGTAAATATTATAAACCATTTTCATTCTTTTCTTGGAAATGCCTTTTAACCTTATTCCGTTATGTTTTTTTGTTGTAGAAAATTAACAACAGAATATTTCCATTGGTATAATCAATAGAAGAAAACGTTTTTAGTTTATACAGTTATACAGTTACGTTTTTAGTTATACATTATCAAATTCATAATGCGATTTAAAAATAATTCACAATCGCATATTGAATATTATTAAAGTACAAAATGATTTTATTTTTTGTTGTCCAGTGATGTATAATGTATTTTTCGTGTTGTCTTATCGAAGATAATACTTTGAACCTTGTGCTCAATTATTTTTATAAAAACGATGTTTAAAATACGTCACGATATTGAATTTTTCTACGAATATTTTTGAAATTTGAGTTACGATAAGCGAGTTATTATTATCGTATTATCGTAACATTCCTTTTTTTTCTTTAAATATATACTTCATATTTTATTATTAATCAAACAAACCTGAAAACGAACAAACGAAATTTAAAATGATAATTTTTTGGAACAAATATAATCATATTCATATATTATGATTAAAAAATGAAGTTTTTGCTTCTTTTTGCTTATATTAAAATGTGACAGCAAAGCATGACAGAATAAATTTCATTCGTTTCTGAATTATTTTTTATTTCTCTGTGTAAAATTTGAATAAAACATAAAACATTAAAACGATCAAACCATCTCATTAATATTTCAAATTCAAATCAAATTCAAATCATTCAAATTCAAATTCAATATAAAATAAATATCAATATTTAAAAATCGTACAAATTGCAACTTAATTTCTCGATTATTTTCAACAACTAAGATTTTTAAAAGAAAAAAAAAAATTTACTCGCAAATTGTTAAAAAATAAATTTACGTAAATATTGCATGAATTAAATTCAAATTCTACCGTATATTGTAGATAATTAGATATATTAGCGTTCAACATAGTCCAATTATATTGTATACGCAAGTTGAAATAACCGGATTTCCATCTAATAAATATATCTATCTAACAATTCAAATAAGAAACGTTAGAACCACATGTATCTCTCTTGGTTGGTTGTCGTTTCTTTTCGCACTGCGAATCGAGAAAGAAGACAAGTTGAACGAGTGGGAGTCGAAGATGATAAGGGGCCCATGGTGGGGCAGCATCTAGAGGGGGCAAGAATAAAGCTACTACGGACTGACCTGGTTCGTGGCAGTGTTTGTGCCGGTATAGCCTCGCGAGTAAACTCGTGGATCGTTCGTTCACGTTCTTTCTTTTATTGTTTCTTCTTCAAAAAAAGAAAAGAAAAGAAAAAAAAAAAAGAAAAAGAGAATACACAATCACGTCACAGTCACGCCACGCTACGGAGAGAATCGATCGAGGAATCCGTGGATTGAGAGCAGTCGAGCCACGAAAAACAGAAGCTGTATTTCCAACGCGATTGAAACGTAAACGAGAAGGTACGTGGTCAAGGAATTCTGGTTTTAACCATCACCGAAAGCAGTTTCGAACAAACAAAGGCATAGGAAGTGAACGAAAACGTGGTGACATTCGTGTGTCTCGTGAAACGTGCCATTCAGGCCAAAAACATGGCCGACACGAGAAAGAGGCGCTTCGATCGAGCGTTCTTCTCGGTTACTGATTCGCTCGAATGCCAAGCCGACTTCTTTCGAATAGGTATCTATATTTTTCATCGTTGAAGACTAATTTACACAGTGTGTGTGTATAAAGTCTACACGATATGTCGCGTTATTTTTTAATATATTTAATGATAAAATGGCAATATTTCTTTATTATTTTAAATTATAAAATTATATGAATTATATATTTGTGGAATTCTATATAATCGAATTTAATTTTCATTCGAGAATTATAACTTCTCGATACGATATTCAACTATTTTAGTATTGTTTAAGATAGACATTTGCAATGAGTGCAAAGAATGACGTAATCTCTATACGTGGTCTTCAATCATTGGTACAAACATTCTTTTCATCGAATGTAATACTCTATGAAATCATTTTATTATGTTTCTTTCCGTTCTATAAGAGAAACTCAATATTTAATTATATCATGCTAATTAAATTATTCGATCGATCATGCCACTATTCGAATATTTGTCCTCGTTATTCATTTTTTGTTTTAAAAATCTTAAAGTATCTTAAAGTATTTTCATTTAACAGGTTCGTAGAAAAATAGTTACGATACTGAGACACTAAAAAAGCAAACATTCAGCTTAAATTGATTGAATAATCTCCAATGACCTTCGCGTAATCATGCTTGATAGCGTAGAAAATTTGCTATCGTGCAAATTGAAATTTGTTTTATAGTTAAAATGTTTATATCGATCCCTTTTTTTTCACTTTTTTTAACGAATCCCATTAATTTTTGACGTTAATTTATCGGGTTTAATTCAATACTTGAACTTATATTCTCTTTTACAGAATAACATTTCTTGATAAAATTTTACTTAGTAATATTTAGAATTAAATACAAGATACATAAATGTAATATAAAATAATTAAATCAATTATATCAGAGATAAAATTTATATAAAATGGAAAACAACTTCGAAAATTACATCGAGATATTTAAAATTGAAAAATTTACAATAAAATAAATCAAATTTCACATATAGATATATAATTTTGTATTATATGATTACAGATTATATTAAATATAAATTATATTTAATATCTAATATTTTTAAAATATTTTTCTATCGTTAAATAAACTGATTTGATTATTTTATTCTAAAAAACTATGCATAATTGTTAATTATTTTTCGGAAAAATGATTCGCCACATAATGAAATATTTGAAGAGAAAAGACTTTTATCGCGTCACGGGTACAAGAACAATCAACTCGATAAATAACGAACATCAAGGAGAATAGGGAAAAGACTTCGATAAAATCGTTATTGATTATCTGTCGAAAAAGAACGTTCCGCTGAGTAATGAAACAAATGAGAATATCGTAGCTATATCGATCATACATTCCACGAAATCAACATTTTTCTTCCAGTGTCCTCGTTTGTCTAAGAAAAAAATGACCATTTCATAAGAAATGAGTCGCGTATTCGAATAGTCATGCAATATGACGTAATTTATCATCCGATTATACTAATTAGTAATTATGTATAGTATAGTAATTAATAATTACCATAAATACGTAATAATTAGCATAATGACAATCAATGTTTATATTTTAATTGTAAATTAAAAATATGTGTATATTTTGAAATTATTATCAATTTTCAAGCGAAAAATATAAATTATTAATTTACTCTAATTTATGTTTATCGTATGGTCGAAAAATTACAGGAAAAAAAATAAATTTTTTCAATTCATTTTCAATTCAATTCATTTTTTTTATTTTAAATTTAAAGATAAAACGTATAAAAAAAATTAAGTTGTTCAATAAGTGTGTTCGTGCATTAATAAAATTACAAATATACATTTAGATTTTTTTATATATACTTTTTTTCTTCCTCAATTTTCTCAAAATGTACGAAATAAATTATATAACATATAAATTCATATATCTTGAAACTGAAGCGATAAATGGAGATGACGTAAATTTAAAATCTAGAAACTTTTTTTTAAATGCAAAAAAAAAATCATCTCGTGCTAATCTGTACTTAAAAAATATATCACGTACTTATATTTCTTATTTGCATATATCAAAATTGTGTAAAGAGAAAAAAGTATTTGAATATTTATATGTATATATTATACACTTTCTCAATCTCAATAAATGACAAAAGATAAGAGTTCGATCTTTTGTATCATTATTATCAAATATATCTTCTAATCGTTTAATTACATTATCTAAAAAGATATCTCGAATAGTTAAATTAAAAAGTAAATTAATGAGATACCATATCTCATAAGATAATGATAATTAAACGCAATTTCTCAGTCGATTGCATAGTTATTGCAGAATAGAACGATGATTAGTTCTATGACTAGTTCATCGATAGTTATTTAAAAGAAAAAAGAAAGAAAAAAAAAAGTCATAAACCAAAGTTGAACGAATCATAACCCATCGTATCGATGATTTCAGAATTTCCCCTCGAATCGAAGAGCCGAGCAAAACGATGAGCAAGCAATTCACGAGGAGCGAAGTTGCCAAACTCAGCAACAAGGACAAGACATTGATAATTCTACATGACAAAGTGTACGATGTCACGAGTTTTCTAAACGAGCATCCAGGCGGTGAAGAGGTACTGTTGGACCATTCGGGCATCGATGGTTCCGAGGACTTCGACGACGTTGGCCACTCCACAGACGCTTTTGACCTAATGACGAAGTATCAAGTCGGCGAATTGGTCGAGTCAGAAAAGACGGGCAACCTGCCTAAGAAGACCTGGACGAAGGATCATTTCAAATCTAACAAAACGAGTCAAGGGGACAATCAGGGAATGCCCACCACGATGGTTGTGTCCATTCTCGCGATCCTAGCAGCGATCGTATACTTCGTGTACTTATAATTTCGTCAGATCAAATTCCAGTTCGTCAGTTCGTTTTATCGTTTTAAGAGAGTGCGAGAAGACATGATAATCGATGATCGATCGATTTAAGCGATTAAAGTGTGAACGAAAATTATCGTGACTTTTCTCAATTTTTCTTTCAATTTTTCTTCGAAATATTTAAATGGAGTTAACGAAGCGAAGTCGAATGAAATTCTACTGACGTCTCTAATAGCTAGTCGTGGTTAACCGATTGTAACCGATGCATGTAACGAAGAACCACAACCAGTTTCAGCGCAACGATTTCGAATTTTTATTTGTAAAATAGAATAGAAAGAAATACGTGATAGTTCTCTAATATCTAATCAACAGAAACACGTATTTTCCAAAGTTTTTTAAGTCGTTTTTCTGTTCCTGTTAACACATGTTAAGCGAATAAATCTTGTTTTTTGTACACGAGTCTTCTAATCCAAAAGTTTTACCAACGTCTCTCGTTCGATTCAATCGGGTCGACTGTATTCCCCCTCCATCGAATCTTCTCCAGACTTCTCGTTTACATATTTCTCCCAATAGGTCAACTATAGATAGCACGGAGAACGAAAAGTTTATCGTTGCAAAGGAAGAAGAAAAAAAATTATAAATCGATCTTCGTATTCGAACAACCGCAGATTTTCCAACTTAACCAACTTAATCGTTGAATCGAAGTCGAAAAGAAGCTCCATTTGAGCAGTCATTTGCATTCGAATAGGTCGCATTCAGAAAATCCTTTTACAAGTTTTCAACGAAAAGAAACGGCCGATACGATCGATCGGATGATCTTTCTTTCGTTCGAACGAATCTTGAAAAGACTATTCCTGTTTCTTCTCCTTCTCTCCGCTCGAAAATTCGCCAATTCTCGTGGCTCTATGCAAACGAGGACACGATTGGTGCTTCGCGGATCACGTGGCACTAGAGCAAATGAAATTCCGCGCGATTCAACAATCGATCGTAAATCGTTCAACGGAGAATAAACAAATTTTTAATTCGCAGTAGAGAATGCTGAGAATGAAATCGTAACGCGAAGTGTTTAAGAATAATATTTTTTTTTTATCTTATCTTAGTTGATTCAATAAAACGACTCCGATTAAACAAATTATCATCGGAATAAAAAAAAAAATAGAACAGTTCTTTGATTCTAAATTGAAGATTTGAAATATATATAATTTTTTTTTATTTTATTCAAAATATCACACTATATGTTCAATTTGCATAATCCGATTAAACGAGATCGTTGAATAATTTTGTTTCTAAACAAGATAAAAAACTATTACCTGTACAATTTCCCGCTCGAATCGTTTAAACTTTATTAACCCTGGAACGACTGGCACAAACAGGCTGCGATGAATAATTCGGTACTAATTAGGAGAATATCAAAGGTATTAACGAAGCGGGGCCGATTGTCAGTGTCAACTGGAGCGGGAGAATTTAACAAACGACGAGGAGAAAGGTCGAAAAAGGGATGGAGCATCGAAGGGTGGACAAAACCGGTTCCAAGAAACGCTGTTAAATCTTTTACAGTGTATTCTTTCATAATAAGAAAATTAATTGAGTACGCGTAGTACGATATTTCACAACAAGTTGTGGTATTAAACAAACAGGACGTGTTAGTTGATAAGATTAGGCAATAAATAACGTTATTATCGTACAATACTATTATAATTCCATATATGTATAATATATACGCAATAAGTAATAAAGTTCGAAAAGAAAAAAAAAAAAAAAAAGAAAAGAAATATCTCTGACGTATTAATCCTATGTTATTAGCACAACTTATTAATAGATTATTAACGACTGGATTATTACAAGAGATACTACGTTTATTTATTAATTTCGATAATTAGAAAAATTCGTAAGATTTAATTGCCAGCATATTATTTGTATTCTGTGTAAATAAAAAAAAAATGATTGCAAAATTTACTAGTAAATTTATTATTATTATTATTATTATTATTATTATTATTATTATTAGTTTTCAATATCATTCGATATTTGATTTATCACAGGAAAAAGTGAAACGTTTTCTTCAAGATCATCCTCTCTTTCTCTTTCTCTTTCTCGAACGAGTCGATAAATCTGTCT